CGAATCAGCGCGCGACACGTGTCCAGATATAATAGTTTAAAAAAAATGCGGTGGCATTTTCGTAAATAATTGAACATCGAAGTGCAAGTAAAATCACTTACAAGTGCACCTACTTTCACCTATAAGTGCATGTAATTTTGCCTTGTTAGCATTCACTTCCCGCAAACATTCATGCACCTGGGTGTGCTTATAACTATAGGTGCAACTATTTATAACTATAGGTGCAACTACTTATAACTATAGGTGCACCTACTTTCACCTATAAAAACATGTAATTTTGTCTTGTTAACATTTATTGATCTGAGTTCATCGGGTAGTAATATCGCTGAAAACCACCCGCAAACATTCATGCACCTAGGTGCAACTAGTTATAACTATGTGCGCAACTACTTAGAACTATAGGTGCAACTACTTATAACTATAGGTGCACTTAGTATTGATGCTCAGTGTAAATTTTTACTTGCACCTATAATACATTTTACATGCACTTGTAATACATTTTACTTGCACTTCGATATTCAATTATTTACGAAAATGCCACTGCGCTTTTAAAAAAAAATCAGTGTTTCTCATCCATTAGATTTGGACACGTGAACGGACAGAATCCATTTCTATTTCGCTCCTGGGCGAAGCATTCGCACCTAAGTGTGATTCTATATATATATATATATATATATATATATATATATATATATATATATATATATATATATATATATGTGTGTGTGTGTGTGTGTGTGTGTGTGTGTGTGTGTGTGTGTGTGTGTGTGTGTGTGTGTGTGTATGTGTGTGTGTGTGTGTGTGTATATGTATATGTATATGTATATGTATATACTTACACATATTTTTTCAAAGTTAATATTTTTGTTTAAAGTGTATTAAAAATTTAAGACTTGTAATATTATTTGATAACTTATATATATTATAAAGTGTATTATAATTTATAAAGTCCATGCTACATTTTACCCGGGCCTTGGCCGGTTAGGGACCTAAGCCAGTTTCGAATTGGACTCCGGGTTATTTTTTATAAGACCTGAACCAGCCCTCTGTAAGTCAATTTAGGTTTGGGCTAAGGCCGGCCCATGCCTGGTGAAACCTAGATCCACTTTTTTCTGGACCGATTCAAGGCTGGTTCGACCTTGAATCAGCTTGTAGCCACCTCTACGAACATATATGTAAATGCCAAATTAGCATTTTATCTTCTTGTCCTTGTACTATTTTGGATTGGAGGAAGCATGGTGCAGGGGCCAAAGTCCGTAGATGAAAGAATCCAAAAGATAAATGGTGAAATTATAAGAAGAGAATAATAATGCATAAAAGGTGAGCAATGCATGCAGAAATTAAAGAAACAATATAATTATTAATAGTGTCCTTTTCTTGGAAGACTTGTTTGGTTTTGTCGTGTAACCTTGTATGGATCCATCATAGATTGTTTAGTCTTTTCGTCAAAGGTTAAAAGCTAAGGTTTTTTCAATTCCTTCAATTCACACCCCCCCATAAGTCAACCTCGTCACTGTTCTACCAACACACGTTAATTGGCACAACTGCTTGACTTCTCATACACACCATATATACACCCTTTCCACTCCCCTCCATCTTCAATATAATTTCTCCCACCATTATATTGTTACTTGTTAGTCTTCTAGTCAACCTCCTGGAAATTACCTTGTGATAGGGTAGGTTGGTAGGGTGACATTAATTTTTTCCTTTCATTCAAAATGTCTTTTCTAGAAAATTTTATTTCATCCTAGCCCACCATAATGAATTGGGGCGATATTACTATAAATTAACAATATTTTTGAACCGCTATGTCATGATATGATTGAATTTTTTTTGTTTAAAAAAAATGACTAAATTAAAATATGCTCTTATAAAAAACATTAAGTGATCCAATTAACACACATATTAGCCTCTTTATATATAAACATGTTTAATATATAGAGTAAGACCTTCTTTTGTAAAAAATATTCCTTATAGTCTCTTAGAGGCCATGTGATAAAATAGAACTTGATCACATATTAGCCTCTTTGTAAACATGTTTTAATTGACAGAGGTGATAAAATAGAACTTTTTTTTTTATCTCCTCATTTTAATAATTATAAGCATGACACAAATTTCTAAGAGAGATTCATCAAACATATGCAACTCTGGCCCGCTTAAACATTCAATCTAAGAGGCTATTCAACCTGCACACCGGCCTATTAGTCTTTTCATAAACATGTCTTATAAACTAATTCAAAACCGTCCATCTTAACAAAAGTGTATAATATATATATATATATATATATATATATATATATATATATATATATATATATATAACCTTCTAAGGTGATAAAAGTAGGCTCGATCGCTACCCCACGGAGCAACTTCCATGCATGTCACAACCAAAATTAACCCTTCCAACATTGTCCTTTTCTATGAATTTTCCCCTTAATTAAAATGTATTTTCTTCACTAATTCTTTCTTTTTGACCTGATCCTCATTTAAACATTAATGATGAAACACGTACTGTGATGAGAACATTAATAGTATTATTGTACGCGTTAATTAGTTGTCTTGTCGTGTGGTGTTTTGTGCTACCCAAAGCATGCAAATAAAAGTTTTGACCTCCAACACATAATCCATCCATGTACTACTACATACTCTTCTTCCGGAAAGGTTGAATCTCCAACTACAAAGACTTCTCACATCTCGATCAGACAAAGCATTTGGGATGATGTAAATAACGGTCACTTAATGGCTCAGCAGACAGGGCTAAATGTTAGTTCGCACAAAGGATCTATCCACTTTGGACATGATCTTCACACTGTCGCTGTCAAAGTTCAAATCTTGATCTCTTCTCTTAAATATTGTCTACAGCTAAGCTCATACAAGCCATGTACCACTACTCTAGTAGTAAAGGAGGGATGATCAGATCAAACTAATAGGACCACAATTAAACCGATCCTGCCCTTCTCTTCCTGCAATTTTTACTTAATTCTTTTCTTTGTCATTTTGAATTCAAAGTGGGTATAATACTATAATGGAAAAAGGTAGCTAGAGTCTAGAGATGAAAGAAACACTCAAGTGTTATTGTATATATATGTATGAGTAAGTGGATGGATGGTGTGCAGTAACAATTATGTTTGGTAGATCAGATCAGAGCTGGAAAAGACCAATTAAGCACTAGCACCTTAGTTCACCTCATTCAATACACACAAAAACCACACATCTATTTATCCTTCCTTCCTAGCCGTTGCTCTGACAAACACGCCATTATATATATTGCATTTCCTCACCTCTCTCACCGATACCCCCCCCCCCCCACACACACATATATATTCCCTACTCCTATCCTTATTTACACCATTACTAGACCAAATAATACTTACTATACGTTTTCAAAATTCCATCACTTTACCCATCTTTTTTACTTTCAAACCATTATATTGCCAACTCTCTACTAGAAAGTGTACAAAACTTTAAACCTCTTAGCTCTAACATAATTACACTAGGATGACGACAAAGTAAGTGTATGTATGTGTATATGTGTTGAAATTGAAATCGTGCAACATTCTCTTTCAAAATGGGTTTTAAGTTAGGTGATTTTGTTGCTTTATGGAGATCGAGTCAAGTAATGCTTTTGTTTTAAGTAAAGACTAAATAAGAAAGACTTGGTTTTTACTTCAATAATAAAACAAGATAAATGCCACATTATGACAATATCAAGAACACGAGGTAAGGTAAGCTAAGGCTTGTTCAAAATAAATCATTTATTGCTTTGACTGACCTTTCTCATGGATGCCTAGTATAAATGAAATTCATTTTGATCACAACAACCTGACTATATCCACCCTTCATATATATAATTAAGAGTTAATTCCACCAGAGGTTCCTTGTCTTTGGTGTCAATTCTAAATTTAATTTCCGACTATCGTTTTTGCCATTTAACATCTCAGATTATTATTTTTTGGACATTTTTAGTCATTTTCATGACTTTTCTTATTTTTAGTAAGGACATTTTTGTCTCTTCATATTTTTTTGATTTCAACTGGTTTAATTAGTTTAGAACTTTACTAAAAGCCGATTGAAAAATATGGTTACTAAAAATCAAATGTTACCTAAAGCTCTAAACCAATTAAACCGGTTGAAATCGGAAAAATAACAAAAGAAAAATATGAAGAGATAAAAATATCCTTACTAAAAATTAAAAAAAAAAATAAAGTTATGAAAAGGACTAAAAGTGTCAAAAAGCAATAGTCTGAGATGTTAAATGACAAAAACGATAGTTTGAGACTAAATTTAAAATTACCATCAAAGACAAGGGACCTCTTGTGAAATTAACTCTATAATTAAGACGGAGTATTAGATAGTTATGTGGGCAATATTAGATAGTTATGTTAAAGGCTAATTAAGCAAAATCTTGAACCGTCTCATCTCAAGACAAATTTTTAAACACAATGAAAATTCATAGTCACTACTTGAAAGTGTATATTTCATAAATCTGGGGGCCTTTTGATTCTAGCTAACAAAATATCATAACAGATAAATCAACCTAAGTTGTTCAACCCATAATTGACCGGTTCAAACAAAAAAGTTAAATAAATTGTTCATGTTGAGGGTTAAACTTGTAAAGTTATGAATATCAAATCAACAATCTGACCAACTTAAGTAATTTTTCAAATTCTCCTTCTTATGATTAAACTACTATGATAAATAGTAACATATAAAAATAAAAGAAGGCAAATTCAACTCCGGCCAACAGGGTAGTTCAAGTGACAAATGAGCTCTCTTTATAAGAGAAAATTCTGAGATTATCCTGATTTGATTCCCATATAAGTGACGATTAACCGAACGGAGAAATACCCAGACCTGTAGTGTTTTAACACCGACGAAAAATTCAACAGATCGATGCAGTAATCACGGTTTTAGATGGAATCACTGGTGAATACATACATGGGAATTCACGAGGGAATACTAAAAGAAAAAACAAAATAATAAGAAAGCAACAACATAAATTCTCTAAAAAACATAAATAAATAAAAGTGATTTTATCATTCCATTAAGACATGAACAAATGGCTAAGCAGAGGTGGATTAGAATTCACGAGAAAGATGAGTGATTAGAATATCTCTATATATGTACTTATACTATTAAGGTAGAACAGATGAGAGAAAGATATAAACTGGTTAAGAGGTTGAAGAATGATGGTGATCCCTAGGTGATTGAAGAGGGAACAGAGGCAAGAGCTCCGGCGGGTCGGAACGGCCGTTTCTGGGTGTGCTGAGTGGACTCGGATGCAAGTAGAATCCTTTCTCTGCAATGGCTCTCTCTTCTTCTTCCATCGGAGACTTTGGCGTTCTTGGGGTCCCGCGTCCCAGCATTTCCAGAGGCGACACCGGCGACGCCATAACCATCTCCGCCGCGTTAAACCCTCGGTGCTGCGGCAGCGGCCTGGTCGCCGAAGGCGACAACAACAGCGGGAGTCCACCTCCGCCGCCGCCGCCGCCACTGAGACTGATCTCGAGTTTTCTGGCGGCTTGCCTCCTCTCGTGGAGCTTAAAGGCCGGGCGGCGCGGGCCCATCTCGCCGGAGTTGGTCTTTCCGGCGAAGCGCGGAGGCGCGGCGACGGGGAACTTCTGGGCGGCGCCGGTGAGGCGTTGAACCACGGCCCGGAAGTTGGAGGGGTCCGCCTGGACGAAAGTGGTGCTCTGGGAGTTGTGCAATGCGGGCGGAGAAGAAGCGTAGGAGACCAGATGGGCGGCGGCGCTTGGAGTTGGAGGGTTAGAAGAAGAAGAAGTCATGACCTGCGGCCGGCGATCAAGGGGAGGAGAGGGGAGCTGTGAGTAACAAGAAAGTCAGAGAAGAAAAAGGTGAAAGAAAGATGAAAAGAATGAAAGCGGGAAAGAGGGCATAAAATGTGGAGTTATATGGTAATAAGAAAGGTTGAGAGAGGAGAGTTGGTCTGCTCTGCTATGCTGTGGTGATATATGGTGTAAATGTCAGATACTCCAAGAAAGAGACTTTTTACAACCATTTTCCCTTTCTGCTTTCTTTCCCTTTCCGCCATATTTATTGAACAAAATTTTGCTTGATTCTTGCTAATTTTCTTTATATCGAGCCTATTACACCCCATTTTTTTACAATAGCTCGTTGTACTATACTTACTTCCACTTATCTAATTGTTATATCATATTTAAAATTAATTGGTGATAAATAAGTGAAGATTAACCATTTAACTATATTCTTTCACTGGTAAGTCACAGCCCCACGTCTTGAATCAAACCCTGAACTCGGTAAACCTGATCGACGCCTAACATATTACTCTTGTCATTCAAAAAAAATTTGTTGTTATGATGTTATTCCGTTATTACTATTTACTCCTATTTAAGAAAAATAATTAATATCTTTTTAAACACCGAGAAATTTCATTTGAAATGACATTGCCTAATAAGGTAATGATTTAGTGATTAAAGTATGAGGTTTTATTTTCGGCCATCAATAAAATGATTACATTCCAATCTTGAGGGTCTTACTTACCATTGTCTTAAAATGTTAGTTGAGGAAGTAAACAACAAGATGTGTTATAATGCATATAGGTTGGTATGACATTACAAAAAATACAAAAAATCAGTGATATAACCTGAATTTACACATATAATAATTTTAGAATTATTTATTATAGTATAGAAATGTTGTAAAATTAACAAGATAGTTGTAGCAAAATTATAATATATTTATTGTTACATTTATGCATACTAAACTTTTTACTATATAAGGATGGAATTAAAAGAGTTTGAATTTATTTCCACAAACTAATTTAATGAGTAAATACTAAATTTAGAAACAAATTTGACCAACCATTACAAATCCAAATCCTGATTTGATTAGGGTTGTATGTTTGCTTTGTTAAGCTAAACTCATATTTTTTTGCTTATTTGTAAGTGTTGATCATATGGGGAATATCAGCAATTTGTTTACTCAATGGCCCCGAGGTATGTATAACTAACAAATTGCACATGGTGACAATTCTATGGACACCATTTTTGTTTTTAGGTTTTTTTTTTTTTAAATAAAAATGATGAGTTATAACTTTTTTTTTTGAATGTTACTGGCCCTATTACATTGTAGTATCTGTTCATATACTTTCTCAACCTACTGAAAAACAAAGAACCAATAACACGCCTCCACTGAGGCTCGAACTTGTAACCTTCCAAATGGAAGTCCAATCCGAGTACCATTAGACCACATAGTCTTGGTAACAATTTTTTTTTTTTTGATTTACCCAATTATAATTATACGTAGGTAATTAGAGATTTATGTATAGATTTTATGGCGTTTAATAATATCACATGGTTAATAAGTTTATACTTAGGCCATCTGCAGCCTTGAAAGTATAATTATTGCAAATTCTTGGTGACTTTTTTTTTTTTTTTTTTTTTTGTGTGTTTTCTCTGATGATGTGTTGCAATTATGACACACTAAATTAAAAGTGCAATACTTGCAATTCGAGTGTCAAAATTGCAACAGGTTCGCAAGCAGTTTATTATTATTATTACTGGTAATTCACTCGCGCGATGCACGAGGAAAAATTATGTTATTATAAATATAAATAAAAAATAGAAAAACTAAAATATTTTAAATTATTTAATATAAAATAATATTTTTGAGCTTCCATTGGTCAAGTATTTATTATTTTTATAGAATACAAAATTACAATTAAAATTAAAATTAAAATTATAATTATAATTATAATTTTGTATGGTTAATATAATCTCTAATTATTTGCATATTCAAATAAACTTATAGAGAGAATTTATATAATTACATTGATTTATTCTTAATTGTATTTCATCTATATTATAATTTTCACAATACGAATAATAACTATGATAATTATATTTGGAAAGCAAATTTCAAAGTTTGTATGTGTAAATTTAAACTCTAATTGAACACATTTTTTATATGATTATATAATATATAGCTATTTTATTTTTCAAAAGTATATTTTTTATATGATTATATAATATATAGCTATTTTATTTTTTAAATGTTGTGCTTTTTTTTTTTAATTTTATAATAAAGGATGTTGTGGCATTAATTGTAACATTAATTATTTCCCAAACCATATAGCTTTATTATATAAAAGATTATTATTATTATTATTATTATTATTATTATTATTATTATTATTATATTCGTTGTTGTTGTTGTTTGTTATTATTATTATTATTATTATTATTATGGTGGTTGTTACGTTATTATTATTATTATTGTTCTTATTATTGTCTTATTGTTGTTATTATTGTTATTATTATTGTTATTATTATTATTATTATTATTATTATTATTATTTTGAGCGCTTTTGAGCGTATAATTACTTGAAAAAATCCAATATTGTGCAACATTCCAAGATTAGAACTCAACTTAATGTCATATATGGGGACCTTATTTAAAAAGATCTATGTCTCTTCTACTAAAATATCTACTCAGCTCCTTATGACACGCCTCAATGTAACTTTAGTCTATATATTTTTAAGCGAAAAATTTAATCTCTAAAGATTTTAACGATATCCAAGACCAAATCTATAGCTTAGTGTAAAACATAAAAATTAAATTTACAAATTGCAAATAACTAAAGATTTTTTTTTAAAAAAAAAATTAAATTTCCAATTTGTAAATAACTAAAGAATCTCATTAAATCATGATCACAACTTAGATGTTAAAAAATTTTTTTTTTTAGTACTACTTACTCTGTTACAATGCAATATTTGTTCATAACTACTTTCTCAATCTATTTAAGCACAAAGAGTCAATATCGCCTCCACTGCGGCTCGAACCCACAATCGTTCATATGAGAGATATTAAAAATATTAATTTTCATAATTATGATTCTAGACTAGAAAGTAGAGCATTGATTCAAATTTTAGTCTCTTAAAAAAAAACAAATAACAAAGAAATGTTCACATGAATAGTATTTAGTCAAATTAAATGCTATAAAGTACGTATAGTAGTCGTGCTCATTAAGGGTTAAATAATTAGTCAAATTCCAAATTTGATACGCCTTTTCATGCTAAAACTCATTCAATTTTGATGAGTTTGAAAGGAAATATGAATTGCTTCACGAAACAAATTCTATGTGGCAAACTTAGACGTGACTAATTTGTCTTGTTTTGTTTTCTATTATAACCGATTCCATACCCCTTTGCTTAATCAAACAATAAATTTGTCACGGGCAAAAAAAGACATGAATTTTATCTTATTGTGAGTATTAGTGTACAAGTATATAGGGACATGTAAGCCACTTGAAACATTTAGAGATTGGTAAGCCAATTAAAACATATTTTGTAATTTACCTCATTCACCAATCTTCAAGACAGAAGTATTAGGAAGAGACCGATAAGGACCAAGTCCAACACCATGTGGCTAGGGAATTGTTGGGCGGAGGCCTGGCCAAGTAAGCACCCTGACTCTCGAAAATGTGTGGCGGTATAAAGAAATAAAGTTGTTTCTTCGCTAATGGGCTGTTTGGTTCACGGAATAGGCTTGGAATGGCATAACATTTACAGTAATAGGCATATTCCTCTGTTTGGTAACCACTTGTATTCCAAGGAACATCGTTCATGAGAATGATCTATTCCCCTTGCAAGGGGAATAGAGATTCCTAGGGGGGGCCTGATATTAGGCTATTCCTGAGTTCTCAGGAATAGCCTAAAGTTTCTATTTTCTATTTTACTCTCCGCTCCCCCCCCCCCCCCCCCTCCCCCTCCCCCGGGCCACCACCACCCCACAACCGCCACCATCCCCACCACCACCCTAGCAGCACCACCGCCACCGCCCACCGCCGCCACCAGCACCACCACCCCACCACTGCCACCGCCACCACCACCATCACCATCACCATCACTGCCGCCACCGCCACCACCACCGCCACCGCCACCGCCACTACCACCACCATCATCACCATAACATATTTTTATAAGGGCATTTATGTCTTTTAAAAAATATTTCATTTCTATTCCTTAAATCAACCAAACACTGTAATATATAATTCCTAAAGTCTATTCCTTCTGCAAACCAAACAATAGAATACAATTCCTATTCTATTCCTTACCTATTCCATTCCTTATGGAATATCATTCCTATTACCTCAAAATTCACTCCGTGAACTAAACGTGCTGTAAGAGTAATGTGAAATGTGAAATGAAAAAATGGATGACTAATTGTGATAAACAAATGAAAGTTAAGGATGTAATAAAATAAAAATTAAAAGAGTAATACTAAATGTGGCAATATCACAATAATTAAGAATTAAAACTGAAATGTGCTCAATTATTAATCATATTTTGCTCAATTAGCACCTCTGTGTGGCTCTCATTGAGAGAAGATTACAGGATCAAATCTCAATAGTGATCTGAGTTATTAACTCTGTAGGCTACAATTGATTAAGAAAATATGTCAAACAGATACTATACTGTAATAAAGTTAATTTTACTCAAAAAAAAAATTAATACTTTGCTCGTTCTTATTGCTTTTGGGGTTGAAACAAAGAGAATAAGGATTTTAAATTTCTTTTTATTGTTATAATTCGTTCACATTCTGACGTAAAAATGAAAAAAAAAAAAAAAAATCAATGTAAACTACTAAAACTAGCTTAGTAATAAATTACTCTCTTTTTTTTTAAAAAAAAATCTCATAATTCTTTAGAATGTAATATATTATATATTATATATGTTAAAGAATGTAGTATCTTGGAAAAAGGACACTTTTTTTTCTCTGAGTTATATACTTATAGCACTTCCCCCTGAATTATTTATGTAAGTACATTAGCTCCCTCAATTATTTTAAAAGTTGTGATTTCTCCCCCTGATATATTAAATTGACATTTTTATCCTTAATTTCTTCTCCAACAAATTATTGTGTATACGTAGGGATAGCCACGATTCGATTCGAATTGAACCGGACACTATAGCAATCGAATTAAAAGTTTCCAGTTATGATTCATATC